GGTAGACATGAATTCAACTAATACAAATGGTCCAAATGCATCAATTCAAAGACAGAGATTGTCAGAGTGGATGAAGACAAAAACAAAAACAAAAACAAGGCCCAACTATATAACGTCTGTAAGAAACATACTTTAAATATAAAAACACCAACAGGCTCAAAGTAAAGGGGTAGAAAAAGAAATACCATGTTAACAGCAATTCCTGGAAAGCTGGAGTAGCTATATTAATTTCAAACAGAAAGTGGGGAGTAGGCAGCTAGGGAATTTCCAGAAAGGGCAAGTCAGCAATATCTGGGGTCCATCTAGGGATGATTAAAAAATGGCTGCAGATAGAAGATCCCCCTTCTTTCCCACCCCATAGTACTGAAATCCCTGGGTGACTTGAAGCTGACCCTACTCCTCCGCACAGAGGTCTTTCCAATGCTTCCCTGGGTCTCCACTGTACCCCAACTCTCCATGTCACACTCCATTCATATTACCAACCCCTCCCCCCATGTGACCATCTTAACCTTCCTGGTTCCATGGTGGTGGGAGTAGTGGTGGTAAGGGGGTTGCATGTGGCTTTTTCTATTATCTATTACATAGAGAGGCAGTTTTAGAAACCTATGTACATTGTCTCAATTCAATTTTGCTTTAAGAATCCTACTTCCTGGGGAAGTATAGATGCCTCTGACTGTCATGAACAGGAAGTAGCAGGGAGAGAGCTATCTTGCTCAACATGTATTCTGTCTTTTCCTTTCTTCATGGTGAAATAAACTTATTCCCTCAGAGTTAGTTTTCAGAGTACTATGTTGTGCCTTACTGTGTCTATCAAAACAGTTAATTAGTAGCTTGTAAAAATAAGCCCTGGCTTTGAGGACAAGAAACGGCGGGACAGTGGGAGAGATGAGAGTAGGGTTGAGGGTGAGAAGGATGAAAGTTAGATAAAATGGGACTATTTTCATGAAATAAGATTTAATCACTCTATTTCAAGGTAAAATATCTCATACAAGGTATTCCAAAGTTAGTGACAAATCTTAGAATACAGATCTTGGATATATATCGTCATTTCATTAATAAACTTTTACTTTCTTTTGGGCATTATGTAATACGATAAGGAAATAATCAGCTAACTAAACCAGCATACTAATAAGTTGCTGGAAAGATTTTTTTTTAAATTCCAATAAAGAATAATTTCTGGAAGTTTCACGGTAGCCCTTTAAAGATAAAAGATATACCATTTAGGGGCTTCCCTGGTGGCGCAGTGGTTGAGAGTCTGCCTGCCGATGCAGGGGACACGGGTTCGTGCCCCGGTCCGGGAAGATCCCACATGCCGCGGAGCGGCTGGGCCCGGGAGCCATGGACGCTGAGCCTGCGCATCCGGAGCCTGTGCTCCGCAACGGGAGAGGCCACAGCAGTGAGAGGCCCGTGTGCCGCAAAAAAAAAAAAAAAAGATATACCATTTAATTACAAAAAGAAATCTGTTTCTATGGTTTTATTATTTGTCCCTCTGATATGTACAATGAATTACTGCAGCCCACAGATTTTATATGGAAATAAATAATATTTTCCGTTCAGTCAAGTATATTGACTGAAAGCTGACGATGATCAGATTTTTATGGTAAAGTGATATTTGGATCTTCTAAGAGGCATAATTAGTGATGGAATCATCAAAAGACTCAACAGTTATACTGCAGTAGAGCTTATAATTACGGACCTGAGGATTTTAATTATATACTCCTATGGTATAAGTCAGCTGTAAAAACAAACATTAAAGGGAGAAAAAGATCAGTCTATTGAGTTAGAAACCAGAATATGTAAATTTTGCTTTATAATTTGGGGTGGCAATTCTGGTTTTAATGGCCTGTTTTTAAGTATAATCATTTTAGGGAAAAGGCCCATGTTTCCTTTGGATAGCATCTACACTTTCAATTTTTTAAGTTTCATTTGTGTGTGTGGGGGGCATTCCTACAACTCAATAGCAAAAAACCCCCTAATGACCCAATTTAAAAATGGGCTGAGGAGTTGAACAGACATTTTTCCAAAGACATACAATGGCCAGAAGTCTACAAAAAATGCTCAATGTCGCTAACCATCAGGGAAATGCAAATCAAAAACACGAGTTATCATCTTATAAGGGTCAGTATGGCTGTTATAAAAGAAAACAACAACAACCAAACAAACAAAAACAAAGACAGCAAGTACTGGCAAGGATGTGGAGAAACTGGAAAGCTTGTACCCTGTTGATGGGGATGCACAATGGTGCAGCCACTATGTAAAACAGTATGGAGGTTCCTCAAAAAATTAAACTACACATGATTTAGCAATCTCACTTCTGGGTATGTATCCAAAAGATTTATTTCTGCGTTGCTCCAATGGCCTGGTCTTCTACCCTAACCTCACCTTAAAATTTCATCTCTTTGTGACACCAAGAGAAAGGGGGGAAAGGGTTAAATCCTACAATATGACATTCTTGTCAAGTTCTGGTATGTGATGAAATATATCGTTTTGGCATATACTAGCTAAATGAATTTGAGAATTGAGATAATTATCTGGGTTATTCAAGCTAAAGAAAAACTTTGCTTAGAATAGTATATAATTGGGGAAAACAGTGATTTTAAGAAAAGCTTTAATTGCCTAGAAAAAAAAATCTTTAATTCTCCACACAAAAGGCAGATGTTTGGAGAAAACCACAGTCATATTTTTAATAAATATTTTTTTGGAGTATTTACTTTGTAATTACATCACTTGCACCATCCTCCACAAGATGGCATGCAAGTTTGTAACATACTTTAGCCAGTAGTCATGCTCTTGCTAAATGATCTTGTAACAATTACATTGACTCACATTAGACAAGTTAGTTTTTTGCCTTACAATTTGCAAGTATATACATTCAAGCAATGTTTTCAATAGGTAAAGACCATTGCCTTTCAGAGATGCATATCAAAATGTAATTATTTGAAGAATGTGTGAATAGAAATCAGTAATTTAAGTCTATTCATACAAGGCAATTGAAGATTTGGCCATGACTAGCCTATTCTAAGTCCACGTTGTATTGAAGTTTCCAGAAAAGACAAAACAAACAAAAGTGTTCTGCTGTTCATGTTCGAAAAGACATTTTTATGAGACTGAGAAAGGAATTGTAAATAAAATATTTGGGTTTTGGAGGATTTATTTCGTTCTTTTAAAGTATGCCTGAAAACATTTCCTGGGACAACTGGGAAGCAGCATGTCGATTTATCTGAATATTACTGTGGTTCTTTACCTTTGCGGCAATAATATAGTCACTTGGGATGCTTTAATAAAACACAGATGCCAGGTTCCCTCCTCAGACTAAATCAGAATCGCTGGAGGTGGGATCCAGGCATCAGTGTTTTTAAAAACTTGCCCAGGCAATCTAGTGCTATCTTAGATATCAAAGTTCTCTGAGAGTACCTACTGTGATTGCCTTCTCATTTGCTTGTGGCAGGCATCACTAATCGAACGTGACACTTTTCCAACCGGAGCTCGTGGTCTTTCTCAGTAAAATGCTCTGGGTAGCCCTTACCAATCAATTCAGAGTTGAAATGACTCCTACTTGCTGTCAGAATTATCAAAGAATATGGGACAGTGAACTGTTCCGTGGAAGGTGATGGGTTTCTTAATATGGTAACTATCTCTGCTCTCTAGCCTGAGTCAGCCGAACAATTGTTTTCAGCTGCTTGTAACAGAGGACGTTTTAGAGACTGTAGGGGATAATAGCCATACTCTTCCCAGATCTCCTTGGATACCTTTGTATCTTTTCTGTGTGATGCTCCCCGCTTGCTTCCGCCAACTTCAATGTGTTTTTGCTTCCTTCAGCAAGAGGAGGACGGTCCTTGGACTTTTCTTGCACTTCCAAGGGCAGGAAGCACCTGGGAATTGCCATCTCTCTGGGGTAGCCCTTAACCACTGAATGAGGGGTGCAAGGGTAGGAAAGCCCCATCTCCTTTTCTTTGAGTGGGGAAAACTCAGGGGCATGAGGTCCCCTCCACAGCTTCCCTGTGGCATCAGGCTGAAACTGCTTCTGTGGGCTTTGGAGGTAGCAATTTGCTTGGCTTCCTCCCCTTCTCCGTCCTGTTTCCCCAACTTCCACTTTAGTCTTCCTGGAGTACTTAATGAATAAATCTCTTGCACAGAAATTTTCACCTGTGGATCAGTTGCTGGGGAATCCCTAAGACGGAGGCTAAAATTTAAGGCCACTGGACTCTAGGAGCATCTATATAAACCATTCTTTAAATCATGCAGAGTTAACCCATCTGGTGGAAACCTGTGAAAGAGTGTGTGTGGTAACTAACTCTGCTTTCTAGTACAAGTTGGCCCAGCAATTGTTTTCAGCTGCTGTAACAAAGGAAGTTCTAGAGACAGTATGAGATAATATCCATGCTCTTCCCAGATCCCCTTGGATACCTTTGTACCTTTCAGTGCATGAAAAATGTGGGACCTAAATAGACTACTGATGGGTGAGAAGAGGTAGGATGTGCTGTATCAATAGATCTCAGACGTGACTGCACTGTGAAGATATCCAAAGAGTTTCGAAAAATACTGATGCCCAGATGACCCCCCCCGCCGCCCCCGCCCAGAGATTCTGATTTCATTAATCTGGGATGTGGTCTGAACATTGGCATGTTTAAAGTTCCCCAAGTGACTGTGCTGTACAGCCAAGGTTGACAATCACTCTAAAAGAACCAACTTTAGGGTACCTAGAAGTCACTCTTGTCAGCCTGTTAAAAATTTACATTCCCAGGCTTCCCTGCCCCAGGTATTCTGAATCAAGTAGGTCTGCGTATCTAATAAACACTTTTGGAAATTTCGTCCATATATAAAAGTAGAGAGAACAGTGTGATGAATCCCCTCTGAATCCCAGCTTTAACGGTTGACTCGCGGATGAAGGTTCTTAATGCGTAGGTGGTCCTTGAGCCACAGGCCGAGAAACATTGCAAGGGGGTTTGTAGAGTTAGCTTTTCAGATGCTGTAACTGCTACCGGGTGTATCATAAATACCTGGGCAGGTCCGCTGGGAACATCTGGCTCGGTCCCGGGATGGCAAATCTGTTTCAACGTGCATACCCTCTCTGATGGATAGAGAAGGCTTCTGGGGCAGAGTCTAGGTTCAACCAGCAAAGATACCATGATCAGCACTTCATTAAAGGTCTGTAACTTTAGCTAGCCACTGGGACAACGTGTTAGACATGGTTAATAAGGCTTTGTTCTAGAAAGAATGAGGGCTCTAATATTCCAGTGTAAGTGTATAGGTAGCAAACTATTCCTATTGTTTATGAAGTGAATGTAACGGAGTGCTCTAATAGGACTGAAATGCAAGGTTATACTAACATAATTAATGTTTAGTCTAGAATCATATCCTTTATAGTTTGAAAATATTTTCTTGAGAATGTGTCTCTCTTATAAAAAGGTTTTGTAGGTGATCTGTGATTAGCCAGTATTTGTGCTTTAAAAACATCACAGAATGTCTTGTTATGAAAACATTTAGATCATACTTCTGTACTAATTTCCTTCAAGAAAATATTACCTTGGGACAAACTATTAAGTTCACACAGTATTTCAGCAAAGAGTTCAGATTCTAATGTCAGCTAGCCTAGTGGACCAGGGCTCGAACCCGTGTCCTCTGCATTGGCAGATGGATTCTTAACCACTGCGCCACCAGGGAAGCCCCACATTTGTTTTTATTAACACAGAAAAATCCAGAAGAATCCTGTCACTGCTCCTGAAGCACGGAGGCCCTAACTCTCTTTGCTGGGCTTGGCCTGTAGTTTGGGCTCTGACATTTCTAATCCCTGAGCTTCTCTGAGAGCAAATAGTCATGAACAAGCCTTTCAGAGAAGGGAATAAACTGGATTTTGAAGGTAAGCCCATCCAGAAGGACGTAAAACTCCCCTTGCCATACTTCCCCCCCCATGAGATGTTGTCATAATTCTGAACCTGGGATGAGACTGCCATTGTTATTCTTATGGCTGAGATACTTCTGTACCAGTTGATGGTGGTGTTATAGATAAAATGGAGAAAAATGAATCTAAGGTGCCTGGTTCCGCAGGGAGTTAATTTCTCATCCCTTGGACTAACTTCCTGTGCTGGGGATCGTTCATTTCGGTGGCTTTCCCAGTGATGGCCCTGGCTGCCTAGCAACCGTCAGCTCCAACCTTCTCCGAACAATGGCAGCTGTTCATAAAAGTGCCATCGATTTTTTTAAAGACCGTTTCATTTTATGAAAAATTAAACCTCATAAAAATACAGCTTCCCGCTATACGTTGTTCCCAAACAACTGTTGACAGCTCTGTAATGTAGAAATTGAATTGAGAACTGCCAATTCTTGAGTGGTTACACACATAAATGCGGGTGTCTTTCAAATAATCATGTATTTTTACATATAACCAGTGCTTTTGAGCACTCTCAAGTAATGTAACTACCAGCCATCCTTCGTCCTTCCACCATGAAATGGGCATCATTATTCCTCTGTTTGCCCAAAAGTAAGTATTGATTTTCCTGCAGTTCCTGAATGCTAATTTCTACAACATTGTTCTACAGAAAAAGCAGAACTCAATTCCATCTTATTTTTATGTGTAGAAATGGATGGTATGAATTTAAATTCATCAGAACACTGTGATTCATCAGAAAATCAATAAATTTAAAAGGTCACAAATGTCTCCAAAAGATTTTTAGGCAGCTTTGCAATCCTTCTGGATTTAGTCTTCTCTATTAAATTATCTCTGGGTCTACACAATTATTAAACCAGTAGTGCTTGGTATAATTAACTACTGATATTAATCCTCCCACGGATTTTTTTTTTTGCCCCAGCTTTTTCTAATCATTTGATTCTTACCTATTCTAGAAACCTTGACCACACCTACCCTCGTTGGCAAAAAACAAAAACAAAACAAAGAAAGCATTTTTCTTGGGGATGCAGTGTGGTGAGCAAAGAGGCATTATGGAAAGCTCAGCTCTCAGACTGGAGGCAAGCCACTTGAATTTTCTAAGCCTCAGAATTCCTATCTGTGAAATGGGGAATACTATCAGTATCTATGGCAGAGCTGTGATCAGTAAAAGACAATGTATTTGCAGCATTTAACAGAAAACTAGAAGATAGTATAAATGAGAGTCAAAGAAAAAAACAACTTAATAAAGGACTGCCTGTACCTACACACGTAAAATGAGATGAACAGACATCCTAATATTTCCGTTTTCCCCTTCCACAGCTCTGTCCCCCAAGTCCCCCCGCCGACAAAAAGTGTACCTTTAGCACCACCAAATGAACACAAAATAATCTCTAAGTTCTCATTAGACAGTCATCATGTTTTTCTAAATCTAACTCCTTTTTAATTTTAGCTTTGGTTGGAGTGTGAAAAATGTTCAGATAACATAGGGAATGTATTGTATTAGGAAAATCTAGTTTTAATATTTAAGGGCAAATGATCTGGCTTGAAGTCAGTTGACTGGAGTACAATTTCATCATTATCATCATCACTGGCAAACATTTAAGGAGGATCTTCTCATGTGGGGTGGGGGGGAGGGAGGGAGTGGCCCAGAGCACAAAGAGATTTCAGTCCTGGTTTTTGCAGGTGGGTGTAACCTAGCTATGTCAATGTCCCTGCAATACTTTCCTTTCTCTTTCCTGTCCAATAAACAGTACTTCCTTTCCTCGGAGGGCTCTGGCTTCACAATCGACAGCACTGGAACAATTTCTACATCAGCAGTTTTTGATTTTGAGAGCGAAGCTAGAAGGTAAATACTGCTACTGGCTTTTCATTTACTCAAAATGCCTGCCCTTTGGTTCATATTTCCCTTTTCAAGAGTATTTCACCCCATCTGGCCTTAATGTGCTCCCAAATGAGGATGCTTTTGGCATTGCCTTAGATATGAAATCATCATCTAAACTGTAATTGCACAATTACTGGTTTAGGTATAGATGTGGCTAATCTGGCCTTTCTCTGAATCATCCACTTTCTTCAGCTCTAAGCAACAAGGTGATTTCGGTGATGGCGTTTGTGACCTGCCATAGAAGGCGGTGGGGACTTCCCTCCAGATGGCTGGGGCACAGAATTCATTTCCGATGTAATCCAGCATCTTTGAAAAGTTAATGGACTGACAATTTCTCCTTATTTCCTCCATATCTGCTGAAGGGGATTGGTTCATAGTTATTATTTCTACTTTTATAATGTTTTTTATGACCACCCTTTTCAGTCTCATGTTCTGCATCTACGTGCTCTACGGGAAAACAAAATGGACCTTTAAACCATTCCAATTAGCTTGCTCCTGAATCTCTTAAGGACATTCTTCCTGATTATGAAAATTGAGGATGGGATATATCCTGTCTTAGCATCTTCAGTAAAACAGATTGAGGGTTCAAAAATGGGATGTGACTGAAGTCCGCAGAAGAACACTCCTAAATTTGTATTATCATTATATATTTGGGAGGTAGAAATTGCCAAAATCTTTATCCATTTCCCCTTACGCTCAAAATCCTCTGCCCCCATGTTTATCTGATCACATAAATAGCTCTGGAAATAATGGATAATGTCCATAACAGTTTTTTTTTTTTCTTTTGTTGGCCTGGCATAATCATGGAAAAATGATTATGTGTATTCAAGATATTTACAAATCTTAAATTTGTTAACAAATTGTAGTAAAACTTATTAATGAGAGTTTAAGAAATTAACTTTGTTTCTTGATAAGGGAAAACTAAAGCTTTCCTTTTTTTCAGCATCTTTGAAATCAGAGGAGCTGGCACTGAAAGCCTGAAGCTCTGTTTGAAGAATTTGAATAAATAATTCTTTGGCTAAAATTTTGCAGTGGATCTGCACTAAAACTTTACAGAGAGCACACTACTCCTCAATTTTCCTAACTCCAGAGTTTCCAGGGTCACTGAGCAGACCTATAAATGAGAGGAAAGGAAATTTTGGAATGCCTCATTGGCAAGGGAATCATCAATTCCCTCTCTTTAAAGGAGATCTAGGGGCTGTGAAAGCACTTGTTCAAATCCATATGAAAGAGTTAGCAAGGCTCATGTCTTCCTTATTCCTTTGCAGTCTACTCTTCAGCATCCAGCTAGACCAAATGTAATCCTGCCCACACCTCATTCCTGCTCTTCTTGTGGTTAAGACTTCCCGGAATTATGAAAGAAATGTCTCTATTCTCAAAAGTGGATTGGCTTTATGATTTTTGTCAAGAGTTGTCTCCTAAATAATCATCTTTTTGTAAGAGAGGTTTTAAAATAAGAGGAAAATTGAGAACTGATTTGATTTTTAGGATAAATAGAAGTAAAACATTAATTCTGGTCTCGATTGTCAGTATATTTCAAGTTAAAATAGATTTTTTTTTTTTCTGGAAAGGTGACCAACCATCCTGGTTTGCCTGGGAAGTTTCTCTGATGTGTGTGGGACTTTCAGTGCTAGACTGGATAGTCCTGGGCAAATTGGGACCATTGGTGACTCTAGGACACAGTTTATGGGTGTCAACATTCATCTTTCCATCAGGATATATTCTGTACTTTCATTCTTCAAGCCCGTAAATATCTCTGCTGAGATAAAAACCCTTTAATCATCTAACCGGCCTAATATTTCCCCATTGTCATTACGTTACTTTGAAGTGTTTTTAACACCTTCTCCTTTGCATTTGTCAATCAGTTTTCCATATTGAAAAGTCAATGTTTAAAGGTAAGAACCCATACCCATAGCTTTGTTTGCTCTACCACTCTAAGGAATTCCCAATTTTGTATGATTGATGGGGATTAACAGACTTTTCTAAGTTTCTGCCTGTCTTTTCAATGGATTTGACTAATATGGTTCCTAACAAAGTGTTAGCCATTTCCAACTGTTAAAACAACTTGTATGGGCTTCCCTGGTGGCGCAGTGGTTGAGAGTCCGCCTGCCGATGCAGGGGACACGGGTTCGTGTCCCAGTCCGGGAAGATCCTACATGCCGCGGAGTGGCTGGGCCCGTGAGCCATGGCTGCTGAGCCTGCGCGTCCGGAGCCTGTGCTCCGCAATGGGAGAGGCCACAACAGTGAGAGGCCCGCGTACCACACACACACAAAAAAACACAGACAAAAAAAACAACTTGTTTGACTGACATTTTAACTAAATGAA